ACCTTTATGTGGTGGGTCCCAAAGGTTGATGTTGGACCCAGCTTCTATTCGGAGGGTGCAGTCGCTATATATTTCCGGAGGCGATCCACTTCTGCATGGTTGGACCTGGAGGGTGGTGTTGCACTCCAGCTTTTGTGCATTCCTATCCAGAGGATAATGTTGATTGGAGCGACAGTTCTTCCTTTTGTGCTACACTTTGGGGTGTTTTAACTGCCTAAGGCTGATATTGTTCAGTGGGGTGCCAGTCTGATTGAGTTTGATGTGACCTGCCAAATTGACACATCTCTTCTTACCATTAATCAGATGTCAGGTTCTTGGATGTGTGGTTGGTTGTGGATTTGCACAAGTGCTCATTTTGTAGATCGGTTTACACAGTATACACTTTTGTTCTACTTAACTTGAGGTGAAGATGATGTGGACCCTTCTCTTACCACGGGTTGGAGGTTCTATTCCTGATACTGCTTGATTTTGGATTGGAGTTGACTGACTGTGTACAATCTGTCATTCCCTAGCCACTGTACACTTTGGAGCAGATCTATTCTAGATTTCTCCACATTCCTGTCTGTAGACAGTTCTTTTACAGTCTTTCTTCTACGGGATTGAGATTCCGGTATACTGTGGTTCAGATTCCAACCCAACCGGTTTTCTCTCTCCTTTTCCTCCCATGTATGTGACACCTATTTCCACACTGTTCATAGAGTATACCTGGTACAGAAGTTGTATAGTCTCCCACATGTTCCTCTCCCAACAGGGATCACACTTCATGGGTGTTGTTTGGATGCTTTCAAAGGATACTTATTTCTATCCCTCACACCGGTCCCTCCACCTATACAGTGTGGGATTCTAGTTATACATGTGAGCGGAGGTAATGTACCATGTTGGAAGTTATTATTTTCCTATACTGAAAATAGATTTCCACTAGGTACTTACCTCCTTTCACTCTTCCCACCCTTCCTCCCCACTGAAAAGTAATGCTTTCTTTTCTGCCTAATCTCAAAGTGATAGTTTGGTAGAATAGAACAGAGGGAATCCTGTGTCAGGAGGATGTGTTGCACTCCTATTGGTGGAAGGTTGTTGCATGATGATTTACATACGAGATGCAGTTGAATCACATTGATCGTGGGGGACATGGGAGTTCACGGCTTATTGCATGCAAAAATATTTTACATATAGAGGGCAGCACAGAACGAAAACAGCTACACATGTGACAGGAGGTAAGTACCTATCGAAAATCCATTTTCGGTATAGGAAAATAATCAATCTGTTAAGCTTTTAGTAAACATTACAATTTGTTGTACAGAAACAAGTAACTTTGAATAAAGTATTTTTACTAAAGATTAATGTATGGGATTATGAAGTCAGAGTCTGATTCAGAGGAACTAGTTAGAGTGCAAGGTGATTTTCATGTTAAGATTAAATGTATATATTGTTTTCATATTACAGTTTTCAAATTTCATTTGTATAACTCTAGGACCTGCAAAAGGAATATCAAACTTGTTATTTAATCCATTAATTTCTCTATCCTAACACTACAGCCTAGGTCTATTTGACTGACTTGTAACAACAACAAGAAATAAATGTAAATTACCCTTTTTCCTTTTTATAATGCTACAATTATTTATCCTTAAAAGCCTTAAGGCTCGTAACAGTTGTCGTCATTATCTAATATTGCTGTTGGAACCTTGGCTAACATCTAATCATATGGTTAAATCTGTACAAAAGCTGTATCACATATGACAAAAATATAGTTCAAGAAATGTGACGAATCAACATTGGAAATTTATTTAAATATTTCCTTTTAAAGTTATGGAATTAAAATTGAAATAATATTATAATTTGATAACTGACTAAGTTTTCAATGCTAAGTTTATTGATACACAATATCATTAAAGTATTTTAGTTAAAATTTGAATATAACCATTTTTTCTGCTCATGGCCACTGTTTACAGTAGTTTATCACCCCTTGAACCTACGTGGTATAGTGGTGCCAAAATCGCACCGACATGATGTTGTGTCTTGGTGATTGATCTTGTTGGTCTACTTCTTTGCTAATATACACAAGTAATAAACCTTTTTTGTCATCTGAAGTTTGCTGTTGCAGAACTTCTAGCTTACTGTGTGCACTAACCCTAAATATTCTTATCTTATGTCTTCCTACATAAAAATATTCCCTTAGTTTTAAATACATAATAGAAAACAAAAAGATTATCCCATATAAAACCATAGACAAAAGAAACTATTAAAAATTCTTAGCTTTGTTACTTGTTTCTAAGTGTTCTAAAATATTTTGTTTTCCACTATGAAAACTTCTGCTACTCAGTAACTAATTTTTTCAGAAATTATACATTATCTACTTTACAGTGATCTACATTTTCTACCCAAACATATTTGGTTCTTGAAAATAGTGAAAGGAACAAAACCTATCTGTAAAAGATGTCAGGATGTGAGGAAATATAAATCTACAGTTTTGGATAGGCAGAAAAATTCTAAAACAATGTGTAAGGACTTTGTTTCCTATTAAACTGCACACACACTAGTGTCCAAACATTTTTTTTAATTCTTTATTTATAAATTACACTAAATGCATTTTACAAAAGTACAAAAGGTATTTTCATGTAAAACAATTGTGGAAATAAAGTTAGAATTTTTACTTAAGTTGTGAAATTTGATATGCAAGCATCCCTTTTTGGTCCTAGTGGCTCTCATAGGGTTATTATTTCATATTAGAAAGTTTATAGTCACCCAGTTTGAGTTTTGAATTCAGTTATGACTGAGAAATGACTGCTTATTTTTTGTTTTTTTTCCCATTATCATCATGGCCTAAGCAAATTTATCAGTATCTATAATGTTTTATAATATGCTTTGTAGACCAGCAGTTTCCAAACTGTGGGTCACGACCCCTCATGGGGTTGCGAGTAGTTGATTATAATTAGACCTACTTTTGTTGTTCCAAATTAAAAGGTGTTGAAAAACCGCCTTGTGAATTGTTGGTTGATGTGTTGTTTTGGGTGTTGTCTGTGGTTGCTTAAATATTTGTCTCAAAACGAGGCCACATAGGAAAAAAGTTTGGGAAGTGCTGATGTAAAAAATTACACAGTTGACAGCCTTATTGTTATTTAATAGGAAGGGCAGCAACCCAAAATCTTAGCTGTATGAAATAATATGTCTTTTATTGGCATTAAAATCCATTTGTTCTTAGTTGTATGTCTAGATGTTAGTGTAACTATTTGATTTTCATTATAATGCATTTGTAAGTTCTAATAACCACATCTAGTGTGTAATGATAGTAACTTATTAGAGTAGCTTATTGTTAATTTTAGAGCACTGAATTTGAATAACAAAATAATTGATTAGCAGCAACGAGTTCAGTTATTCTAGCATTATATAATGTAAACTTATGTCACCAAAAATAAAAATAGATTAAAGTTATACAGCTTATTACATGATAAAACCTTAGTTGTGTAATAACTGCAGTGATAATACAATTTTCATGTTTATAATTTTCCTTTAGTTTCAACTTGTGTACAGTAAACATTCAGTTAAGTTTCAACATGTGTACAGTAGACATCCAGTTAAGTTTCAACATGTGTACAGTAAACATTCAGTTAAGTTTCAACATGTGTACAGTAGACATCCAGTTAAGTTTCAACATGTGTACAGTAGACATCCAGTTAAGTTTCAACATGTGTG